CCTTATCCCTGTCTCACCTCAAATCAAATATTATATAAAAATTTGGACCATTCACTGTTGTCCCTATTTTTCTCTTGGTTTGGATGTTCTCTTACTCGTACGAGTTTTTGACAAGATTATTCGTGCATGGTCCTCTTCTAGCACATCCTGACATAGTCATGAGACTCAACGGGCTAAATAATAATTTAGGTCCCTTTTGGCACAACTCAACTTTACCGATGAAGCTATTTTGAGCAGCTTTCTCTGTGAAGCTGAGCTGTTTTAAAAAAAACGGTCTTTGCAAAACAGCTTCACCAACAACTTTATGCCTGTTCGTTTGGACTGGTTTGGCTTATAAGCTATGGCTGGTTGGTTTGGTATGAGAGAAAAATACTGCCCATTGACTGATAAACTATGGCTGGCTGGTTTGGTGTGAGAGAAAAATATTGTTCATTGACTGATAAGCCATGGCTTATAAGCCAAATACGACCAAACAAACAGGCTGTTTATGCATAGCCGAGAGAGCGAGGGAGAGAGCTGTGAAAAGCTAAATTTTTCAGTTTCACCTCTCTTTGTTACTCTGCGAGAGCATACAAAAGAGCACCATCCCATGAGCTGTTTCCAAAAATGGTATTTTGGGAAAAAAACTCACAATAACTTATGAAGCTGTTGATGAAGTAGTGTTAACATACCCTTATAAAAAGCACCAGAGAAAAAAACTGAAAACACTTAACACTTGCAGATGCTAGACGGTAATGAAGAAGTGATTTGCTGGGTTATCTTCTTTGCATGTTTTCACGTAATATGTGTCAAAACAGTCCCATATGCTAAATCAAAATAAAATATTCATAGCATGACTTAGAGATTTATTTTATTCTATGTACAATACATATAATAATACAGCGCGGCAAGCGTGGTAAGCCATCATCCATATACTTTGCCAACAATACATATAATAATATCGGATATATACCATGTACGGATCGGAGGGAAATTATTCGGGATACGAAATGAAAGACAGTGAAGAACGAATTTATTTGCTGCTGCTGCAAGATCTGTAACACAATCATAGCTCAGACAGATGCAAACAGTTGACAGTTGTTTCATCAGAAACCCGTTCGCTGGTCTGAAATTTAGCTAAAAAATACTATACGGCTAATTTATTGTGAGAAAAAAAACTATAGCGGCTGAAACTGGCTGAATCTGCCGGCTGGTTCGCTGGAACCAGACCAGCGAACAAGACAAAACTGATGCGGAAACATGTCTACAGACTACAATTACTGCTCCTATTACTCTATACCAACGTTGGAATCGGTCGCCATTACTCGGTCTCCGAATGCAGCAGCACCGACAATAAACGTGGCCGTCCCTACCATTTCAGGCTGGGTTTAGTCGGAGGAAAAGTTTAGAATTTGGTTACTGTATATCATTTTCATTTTTATTTAGCAAATAATATTCAATCATGAACTAATTAGGCTCAAAACGTTCGTCTCGCGATTTTTAACCAAACTGTGCAATTAGTTTTTTTTTCGTCTATATTTACTGCTCCATGCACGTATCACAATATTCGATGTGACAAATACTGTAGCACTTTTTTGGAAGTAAATTTGGAACTGAACACGCACTCAGGCTTGCAGCGATGCTCCTGCTACAGAGAATAATACCACAACACCCGAATACGGAATACTCGTCATGTTCGCTTGGCTTATAAACCGTATTTTTTCAATCAATGAATAATATTTTTCTCTCACAACAAATCAGCCAACGGTACTTTGAGCCATGGCTTATAAGCGAACGGAGCAACTACCTGATCCGACACCTGCTGTAGACAATTGCTTCCCGCTGCGAGCAAGGAAGCTGCAAGAGGCAAATTAAGGCTGGTACGCTCAGCCACTGAACACTAAACACTGAGCCCTGAACAGTAACATTGACCCTGAGATTGTGCTCGATTCAGCTGGCAGTGTCTACACTACTACACCTGCACCGGCCTGGGCACCTCGGCGCCGACCTGGCAATAACAGGCCTACAGAGTACACACAGGGGAGGCTGGCGACTGGCGTTACCAGCACTCCAGCAGTGAAGAGTCCTGGCAATCGAACTATCGAAGACGAGTATTATACCCTCGCAAAAAAAAAAAAACCGACTACTATACGTGCGTCCGACGCCGTATTGCTCTCCGGACGAACGGCCCAGTCTGTTCTAAAGCCCAGGGCCTGCTCAACCGCTTGCAGGCTGCGTGCGAGATGCCGTATTGGGCCTGTAGGGCCTACGGCACCGGGCCCGTGGCGTCGTCAGTTCCTTCAGCTCAGCCCGGCTCTCCTACCATTGCAAGTAAGTTCATTCATAGTCTTGATATGGACCCTACACTCCATGGCATATCTAATCTTTTACTCCCATTTTATACCAAACTAGTAGCAAATATGTGTTTGGTTCAGCGCTTTTTTTCCCCTGCAATGATCAACAGCGCCACCACCTCACATTGCTTGGTGTTTGGTGCTAGTACGCAATCTACTACCGGAGGGACCCAGTACGGGCCTCTACACCCCTGATGCCGCTCACCTCGGGGCGTTAAACGATTACGCTCGAATTCTCAATTCCAAGTGATCCTCATCTATTTCTCCCGCAATTCATTTTCATTCCCATTGTCATTATCACTTTACCAACCAAACACTATTTTAGGCCAGTTTTAGTAAGGGTTTCATGTAAATTTCATTTACATTAAGAGGAAATTATTTTCTTATCCCTAAAAAAACTGACGCTTAGTTTCTAGTTTTTTTTTTCTCGAACTTACTTATTTGACTTAAAATGAATTTCTTTTGATTTCTTGGCCCTTACGTTATTTGGATGGGCTAATGGTGTTAAGCTGTACGCGAAATGACTATTTTACCACTTGCACCAAAGTCTACAGTTCACGGGTCTTTCAGGCTACCTCTATCAATAATTTCCCAAAATAAGGTACAATATTTCTTCAAGTATGGAATCATTATTTTTTATTATTTTTTTAATAATACTTTTTAAACTAGGGGTAAAAGAATCATTTCACATACAGCTTAACACCGTTAGCCCATCAAACTAACTGGGCCAAGAAACCAAAGGAAATTCTTTTTAGAGCCAAATAAACAAGTCCGAGAAAAAAAAGCCAAGAAACTAAGCAACACTTTTTTAGGGCCAAGAAAATAATTTCCTCTTACATTAAATAGGTTGTCACATAAACATTTTTTATGATATGGCAGCGTATTTAAAAAGGGAGAGAGAAAATGATGAAACTCTCTTGACACGATTACTAACTATTTATGAGTCATGAAATTAAATGCATATGAAACTATAGAATGAAACTTTGTATCGAGAGTGAATGTTTTATCCAAGTTTCATTGGCTTGGAATCAACGCTATGAAACTATACACTGAGACTGACAAGTTTCATCACATAGTTAATAAGACTGCTACATCACCTTTTGTATTGGTAACTATGACAGAGACGGAGAGAGTTTCATCTACCTCTCTTTATAAATACGCTGTCGAGTCAGATGTGTAACTGTATTAAATGAGAATAAAACTCTTTTAAAACCCTTATGGAGATAGAATCAGACACCGTATTATTGGTTGCTCTAATTTCTATGGACACTAAAGTTAAACCACACATGAAAAATTACTTTGGGAAGGTAAGGGCATGTTTGGATGGACTAAGACTAACGACTACTCCTATTAACTCATATAAATAGATTAGTGAACTTACAATTAATCTGCCTATCTAGATATTTAGGGACTAAAAATTAGTCAACTACTCAATCCATCCCAAATTGTAAGACGTTTGACTTTTTTGACACCAAGTTTGACCACTTGTCTTATTCAAAAATTTATGTAAAATATCACTTCTTTCGTCGTGGTTTGGTTTATTAATAAAAATTCTTCAAGAATGACTTAAATTTGACTATATTTACACAAATTTTTTGAAAAGATGAGTGGTCAAACTTGAGGCCAAAAAAAAGTCAAACGTCTTACAATTTAGGATGGAGTAGTATATGTTAGTTCTATGGCCAAACAGGGCCTAAGTAGATGTACGACAGCTCCGCCATAGAATGTCAAGCGGCGAGATAATATTCACCCTGTTCGCTGATGCTAAAATTTGACTTATGCTGGTGCTTACGCTAAAATATTATGAGAGAAAAAATATTGTTCTATAACTGAAAAGTAGTTCTGAATAAGCTCATGAATAACAGGGAAAAAGGGGAGAAACAGTTTTGCCATGAAATTTCATGCCGCACTAGTAGAATCTCAAGCGGCGAGATATTAAAAGAAAAGAAAAGAAGAATCTCAAGCGGCAGCAATTCAAGTCCAAGTTCGTCTCCTCCGCAGGAAATTCTGCACACGCTGCTATCGATTCGGTTGCATGGGTCCACGTCCATCGCTGGGCCGTTGGGCCACTTGCAGATTCCAAGCAGGAAAACGGCGTGGGGAATACGAACCTTGGCCTCTTCCGGTGCAGCGGGGCGCCGGCTCGCCCAGCTGGAGCACACCGTCAGCGGCCTCGGCTCCGGCTCCACCCAACGGCAACGCTGACCGCCACGAAAGCGACGGGACGAGCACGAGACCCGCCGGGTCGGAATCCAATGCGCCGAGCAACAGCAAAGAAAGCGGGATCGCCCTCACCGTCTCTGCGAGGTGGGCCCAACCTTAGCCTCTCCAAGCAAGAAAGGAACGTGATACCCGCGCGGGCGTGGTCCGCACCCCGCAGTGTGATAGGGACACGGACCCATCGCGCGTCACGCCTCGCCTGCCCCCGTCGCGAACGCCACCCGCTTCCCTGGCACGCCGGCCCTGCAAGCAACTGCCCTCCTGGAGCCCACTCGCCAGGGAAATGCCGCAGAAAATACGGGGAAGAAACACGAAAAAAGGCAAGGAAAAAGGAGGGCGTCAAATACGAACGACCCGGGCGAAGCGGCACTCTATTCGCGCAACCGCGTAGAAAGTCCAGTCCCCAAACACCCCAGCGGAGGAAGAGCAGCAGCCGCCGCCGCAGCTATGTCGGGGGGAATCGCCCGCGGCCGCCTCGCCGAGGAGCGCAAGGCCTGGCGCAAGAACCACCCGCACGTACGCGCCCCTCGATTCTCCCTCCGCCCTGCCCTTATTCCGCTTTGCTGTCGCCGCCAGGCCGGGTTGTCTGATCTGTTCTGTTTGCTGTGGTGCTGGCGCAGGGTTTCGTCGCGAAGCCGGAGACACTGCCCGACGGGACGGTGAACCTGATGATCTGGCACTGCACCATCCCCGGCAAGCAAGGGGTAAGGGACCTGGGCTCAGGAGCCCTAGCTATCTCTAGAGCAATCGGTGCTGGATCGGGGCGGGTCGGTTCCTGCCCTTACAGCTGCCCACTGTTTTTATCAGATCCTTCGTATGGTGAACAAGTCTTGTGTATATGTAGTAGCATCCAGCTGTGGCGTTTTCAGTTCCTTCCTTGTGTGCCATGAGTTTCAGAGTTTGATTGGGAAGATTGGGGCATTAGTCCATAGGTTCAGTGGGCTTTGTGTATAGTAATCTGATGCCGTTAAATTAATTTTGAGGGTAGCTACATTGTTTTCACTGTATTGTGTAGGTTCTATGACTCATGTTATTTGCAAGTGCTAGAGCAGGTACATTTTTGTTAAACTTATCATGTAGTTCCCCCAGTGCCATGGCCTGAATTGAGCTTTCGTTTCCTTATAGCTCACTATGACAAAAAGGTGGTTTCTTTATCATGGGTTGAACTGTTAACACCTAGCTACACTATGGATCAATTTGAATGCTTGTTCTGCATAAACAAATTTGTGGATGAGTTGTCTATATGCTTCAGATGAATTGTTCATTTTTGTTAACTACAATTTCATACCACAGTTGACTGGGATACACTTCAATTGTTGAACTGGGAATTTATTTAAGTTGTTCAACTAAACACAGGCGGTTTCTTTGAATATTGTTGTGTTCATATGTTTCATTTAATCTGTGCTGTTGTCTTTATTTCTGTAAAACTAATATGTTGAGAAAAATGGCACAGAATGCTAAAACCCAATAGAAAAGGTTGCAATTTGGTTTAAGCTGCCTCTTAAGTAAGTTCTTGAGAAGTTTGTGGTAGGCCTAACGCTGTAAATGATGGTAATGTTTGATCTTTGTCTTTGGTTGCTTACTAATGGCACCTCGAATTTTGGATTGTGGGGGTACCCTCTTAGTTTGGGTTTACTAAACTTTGTTGAAAAACCTAAGTAACATCGGTGTTCTTTAGTCGAGAAAGGGTTATCCAGCGTGCATATTGATATGATCACCTTACTAAGTTTGAGTGTGTTGTGAGTGTGTGGGTGTGGGTTTGTGTGTGGTGCTGTAAGACCACCTTTTTCCATTCTTCTTAATATAATGATACGCAGCTCTCCTGCGTGTTCAAGAAAAAAAATATGATCATTGTAATTCTACTAAATTAGTGAGTCCTGCCAGCCAGCCAGCTTGTAGTGAGACTTGAAGTCTGGTCAGTGGTCATAGGAAATCCAATTTTGGCTCATTTGCTCTTTCTACTATCAAGTGTGAGCAATGGAGGTACAACTAGGTCAGAATAGGTTTATTTTCTTTTGATGAACTAAATTGTTTGATTTACTTGTTCTCTGTATTTGGATGCTTTTAATTCTTTGTTTCAGGTTATATCATTGAATTTGTGCAATGCTAACATTCACCAACTGTAGTTGACAGTTGTTTGAATATTATTGTCATGTGTATGTTTATCGAAGCTGTCTGTAATAAGATAATGCAGTTTGAACATTTAACTGATTCCCATCTTTATTTCTTTTGCAGACTGATTGGGAGGGTGGATACTTCCCTCTCACCCTTCATTTCAGTGAGGATTACCCTAGCAAGCCTCCCAAGTGCAAGTTCCCTCAGGGTTTTTTCCACCCAAATGTCTATCCTTCTGGAACAGTCTGCCTTTCGATCCTTAATGAGGACAGCGTAAGCTTTGCAATCATTCTGTAGTCCTGTGTGATGCTGTACAGATTTCATGGCCTTACTGTTCCTTTTTTTTGTCAGGGTTGGAGACCAGCTATTACTGTTAAGCAGATTCTTGTCGGGATCCAGGACTTGCTAGATCAGCCAAATCCTGCTGACCCTGCTCAAACAGATGGCTATCACCTTTTTATCCAGGTTAGTTAAAAGTGATGGACCACAACAAAGATATTGTTTGCCCAAAACCTTACTGAGTTTTGAAGTTCAGATAGCCAATCATGTTTGTAACATTTTATTTGGCTTTGCAGGATCCTACAGAATATAAGAGGCGTGTTAGACTGCAGGCGAAGCAGTATCCCGCGTTGGTCTGAGAACTTCGCCCTACTAGGGATCCATGCTGCACATCCGCATAGTTGTTGCTAGTGTCTTGAATGGAAGACCAAATGTAACATGGTGCTTTGAGAAGTACCTATCGTTCTTGTGAACCGTGTCTTCTAACAGTGCTATTAACTGTTTGTAGTGTGTGCTTTGCGGGATGATGTCAAAACCTTGATGTCTGGTTATCAAGAATTGATGTGTGCTGTCTGACAAATCTAAATCTATATCTGTTGGATACCCATTACCTATATTCAAATCCTTATTTGGGTAGGGTGTTGGTTTTTTTATCCAATTGAAATGGCTAGTGGACGATATGGGAATCCTTATTATTTGGGTTTGGTGGTGTGGTGTTATCCAATTGAAATGTGTTGGGGACGGTAAGGGAAGTAGATTATCTATGGCTAAGCCTTTCGCTGGAACTGGATTATCTGTGGCTAAGCCTTTCGCTGAAATCATCAATCAGTAGAAATATAGGGATCAAGTAATACAATCATCTATTATTAGAAATATGTAGATCAAATAATACAATCATATATTATTAGAAATATGTAGATCAAACAATACAAAGTTTGTTTTAGTTGTTTTTATTAGATCCACATGTTTATCTTACTTCGGTAGCGAAAATCCTAGGGTGACAACATGACATTCTTAAGATGCCTATTATAAAAAATCATCTCTAACTAAGTTTAGTCAATTTTGAGAAAATTTTATGGTGTGGATGAGAGTTTTTTTTTATTTTTTATTTAGGATTTTAGGATCTACATTTAAATATAGATGCACCTGCACGAAGTAGCCGCTATCATACTGAGTTATCTTTGAAAAAACAATTAAACGTGAGGATTTTATTTCTAGGTTTCAGCTTTTGACGTGTAGATCTTGTTGTTAATTTGCATAGAGTTGCAAACTATTGTAATCAATTAATCTAAGCAAGTTTTAGTCAATTTCAATAAAATTTAAGTTGTGGATGCGATGTTTCCAGGGGTACAACTTTGACATGAAACTTACACACATATAGAGCACGGATATATGTATAAAATGGTAGAATAGAAGCTGGTAGTTCAACTAAAAGCAATAAATATGGATAAAATAAATCGTTATCCATTGGGTGTGGATAAGATTAAGGATGTGAGAAATAGATAATGGCCCTGTTCGCTTGTCTTATAATTCGTACTTTTCAGCTTGTTTTTTCAGTCGAAACAGTGTTTTTCTCTCACAACAAATCAGTCGGAACAGTATTTCGGCTTGTTTTTTCAGCGAACTTGACCAACCCTTCTAGCTTCTAGGTATTGGGTTTATTAAAACTTGCTCAGGTTTCCTCCTATGAGAACATTGGAAGCATCGGTGGCTGATCCACATGCTGAAATATGTTGAACTGTTGATGTATGTTTTGTAAAAAAGACCTCAAGCTTTTTAGAAACTAACGTGCGGTTTACTTTACCTGGCCCGATGCCACTGCCACCTCTCACGTTTTGCCGCACGACCCTCTCGGCTCGCCATCATGGCTCCTCTACATGTGGGATTATTAACTTTTCACCATTATTAGGATTGACACCTTCTCATATAATAACTTTACTATTGCCCTTACGTTTTTGCCAGCATAGAGAGAAAAAGTTTACAAATTTACCATATTTGCTCGCGTGGCACGCCAGCATGAATATGAATCAACGGGTCACGCGAAATATCCATCCTGACCCTCCCCTCTTCCTACACACTAACGCGGCCCACTCGTCTGCTTGCCCCATATGGACGCCATCTTCCGCGGGTGGTGAAGATGATTGATAAGTTGCTACCTGCCATTTGCATCTCACTACCTTTGATTGGTGTTTCCCATTCATGTAAATGCCATTGAGGATTTCTCGGGATGCTCCCTCTTCTATTTATCGCCTAATATATTTTTTGGTTTGAGTTTTTCAATGCCTATATAAATTATGACCGAGATATTTTTCTGGTATATTTAGTCTGCATATTGATGCAACTTAATTACTTATGGTATATGATTCAAAAATAATATTATTCCACATTTTAGTGGGAATTTTATTACTCTTGAACAATTCTGCAAAATCATTAGTGCTCAATTTTCTTAAATTTATATTTGTCGTTAAATATGCACCTTTTTTCAAATACAAAGTTACATTAGTTTGTTTTGTTGTTCCAAGAACCTTCATGCGTATAGTAATGACATATGGATGACATTTGCTTCACTTTTGACATTGCCTATGGTTTCTTCTTAATTATGTTTTACCTTCTCATGTAGTTTTGTGCAAACCTCAAAATGCTAGCTTTGGGGCCACAATGGAGTTCTTGGACGATGACATCCACGATGAGCAGGAGGCACAAAAGATGGGGTGGAAGTGGAAGACTGTCCAATAAGAAGCTGGAGCACATGATGAAGACAGCATACCTCAAAACCAATCTGAACAAGCCTGATTGTAGAGTTGCTTGTGATTTTGTTTGACAATTGTGTGTACAATATTATTATAGTTATATGTTATCGAGATTAAGTTTTGTTCATCTAATATTATGTAATATTACTCTTGGATATATTTAATAACGAACAATGGCGAATCAGATTTTATAGTCGATCTTTAAAACAATATTTGCATATTTACGTTTTTTAGAAAATAAAGCATTATGATTTGAGCTTTGTTACGATGCTTGGTAGGAACCGATGGTTCCTCCCTTGGAAATTATTTATCGCAGTTAGTAATTAAGAAAATTAATTAATTGTGCTCAAGGGCTGTTTAGTACTTTTCCTCTCCTGTACACAATCTCTGATTCCCTAATCCAATTCCACAAACGGGACTCGCTGCTGCCTGTGTCGCGGGATCGCCGCGTCAAACGGGACTCGCCGCTGCGAGCAACACAGGCAGGAGCAGAGTTCTTTCGTGCGGAGTTCTTTGTCTCCCGCACCGCGCTGCGCCGTGGAGAAGAAGAGGTCTGCCCACCTTGCAGGAGAGAAGGCGGAGAAGGTATGGGCCGCCACCGTGTAACGTTGTGAAGGGGAGGGCCCGGCCGGGCTGCCGCGCCGGAGGAAGGGCTGCAACCGGGACGCTGTCGATCTGCGAAGCTGCCACGTGTCGATTGTGGCGGTCGTCTCTGCAACTCCTTCCTGCTCGCCTCCGCGGAGGGCCACGAGGCGCGACGGGAGGGCGAGATCGCCGCCGCGGAGGGCCACGAGGCGGAGCAGGAGGATGAGGTCGGACGTGGTTGGGAAGCAGTGGAGGAACGGGCATTGCCGTAGGCTACAGTCGCCGCCGAAGAGGCGAAGTCTGCGGGCCGCGTCCTCCGCAGACTCGGACACCGCGGCAGCTGATGGCACCAGCAGCACGACGCAGCCATTCATGGCACTCCAATTCTCAAGGAGCTGGACCACTTCATCTTCACGATCAACACGTCCATGGTCTTCCGTCAATGGCACCACTGGTCTTCCGTCAATGGCACCACTCCCAGAGCCGAACCAAACAGATAGCGTTTTTCGTTTCCCTGCAATAGCTACCACTGTCAGCTGGTTGCATTACCATTCCTGTACTTCCTGTTGAACTAAACAGCACCTAGATTGCAATGGCACGGTTGCAGGATTTGGGCGCAGGAGCTGCGGATACACGGAGGAGACAAGAGGCATAGAGCTCGCACAAGAGAGATAAGGCAGAAAGTACTATTCTACCCGTTTTTTTGTTTTAATGGGCCGTTCGGCTTGCTGAAACTTGGCTGAAACTGGCTGAAAACACGGTTCTGATTGAATTGTTGCGAGAGAAAAACACTGTTCCAGCTGGAAAAAAAAGAAGCCAAACAAGCCGACTTCTGGGTAAACCAAACAGGGTATTTTTTTTTTGTTCCGAACCCATGTATTTCAGGTTCCAACACATAACTTCCTCTACATTGGTTTTTTTTATTTTACAGCCATCTTATCTATCCAAATAGATGGCTACTTTTTCCCTAGCACTGCAAAAATTACACGTACGATGAACCTGTTGAAATTAAGACCGTGGACAAGGTGCCCTTTGGCCCGAGATGTTCTAGTAGGAATGTATATTTAACTTTTTTTTATACGATGCATGTTGTTTGATTATTGGTGTGTATTATGTTCCTGTGGACTTGTGATGCCGTATTGTTCTCTTGTTTCTTTGTGCAAGTTGAAAATATAAGCTATCTTTCTCGCGTGAAAAGGAACGATGAGACATCTCTGTTTTACGAAAAGGTTCAGAGTTGCAGGATGGATCAAGCAAAGTCTTGGACTTTGATGCCCGTAAGATCATGAGATCTTAAGCAAGGCAAGGTCAAACTGATAGGCCGTAGCCTCATTATTAAGAAAGGTAACCAAAGCTGTGGATGGTAATCTTAAGCAAGGGGAAGTCACACTTAACATAGTAAGACAATTTTAATTTATGACAGTATATTGATTGTTTCAGTTTTACATTATGGCTATATATCCTACTCCTACAGTTTGATGACCTGATTTGAATGTGCAGTTTCAACAATCTAATGTTAGCGAATATAGCTAGCTTGCAGCCAAAAAATCATTTCATTGTTGATTGCCATAAAAATGTTATCTTCATGTTGTGGCCATTCAAATTAATTTTTTTTATCACACGTACTATTTAGAAGAAAAAACTTATTCAACAAAGTAAAAGAAGCACGACACGTCCGGTCACCATAGCACATGCTACGGCGGCAACTCAACTCGTACCGTCGTACGACACGACGAATCAGTCCAGCTTGACGGTGGAGAATAGGTAGTGGACGAAGCAGAAGGACGCGCCGAGTCCGACAGCGCCGGTGGCGAGCATGACGGCGAGAGCCATGAGGAAGGAGTAGCCGACGTAGAGCGCGGCAGAAACGGGCCCGGCGAGGCTGTGCAGCTCGAACACCAGGTAGTAGACGGCGTAGCCCAGGGTGTAGAGCGCGACGGAGCCGGAGGCGAAGAAGGCGCGCCACCACCACCGCCAGTCCTCCACGCACAGGCCCATGTACGTGAGCACCACCGACACCTCGG